ATATATATATATATATATATATATATACAGAGGCAATATAATAAAAAATATATATATAATTGTACATAAAATCTTTTTATTACAAGAAAATTATCTTGTCATATGAAATTAATGATCCATCATCAAATCAAACACTAGTGCCAGCACATATTGTAGAAGCATCTACAATAGTATATCGTCGGTGTGACGTGGCGCTAAGAAACATTCCGAACCTAAAAAATTGTCTGGTGTGATGTAAGCTAAGCACTTTGAATCACATTCTTTATTTTCCAAACTGCATTGTTCTATAGTCACCTCGCATTTTTCTCCCCTACTACCTGCAATAAACAATTTATTATTATTAATAATAAATAATTATATTTATTACTATTATTTACTAGTGCGAAAATAATTAATTTAATACGTGAAAATAACAATTATAATAAAGATACATTATACTATAATAATTAATAACAAAATTTATTAGTGATACTGTTAAACAAATGAATCAATCAATAAAGAAAATAATAATAATTAAAAAAATTCATAGAGTAAAAAAATACAAGAAAAAAAAATTATTTTTAAGATGCACGGAGATAAGAACGAAGAAAACAAAGAAAAATTATAATACAAAAATTAGTAGAGAAAACAATAATTACAAAAAAATCTTTGGGGTTGGCCGAACGTTTCTTTCTTTTATATATATAATTATTATTACAATAATAATATAATTAATTTTTATTTTTATTCAAAATAATTGACATGTACCTGAGATGAGAGTAAAGCAAAAGAGAGCAACCAACAAAGAAAGGGAGAGCTTCGACATTAATTTTATGGTGTGTTTTTATTTATCAATTTTTTTAAGTTTGCATTGTGTGATTTGTGCAAGACGATACCTATTTATATATAATATAATATAAATAAAAAGAAATTTCTAAACAAATCTTTGTTATTTATACAAGATTACAATCTTTTTGTAACGAGATCTATTGTATTTTAGAAATTTGTAATAAAGATTGTCACAATCATGAATCATTTACCTTATTTAAGGAAACATAATTTATTGTCTTTTGCAAAAAGAAAATAATGAAATATCATAAATCTTTGGTCAACAAGATAAATAAAGTATTCAAAATTTAGTGCATAATCACGAAAAAAATCCATTTTGTTTGGGTAATTTCAGTCACCCCCTCATTTGAAATATTTTTACATAAAATTTTTGTAATGCAGTTATTTATGAAACCAAATTGTACATTCAGTTCGGTAAACAGTATGAAATTTCGGTTCGGTTTTACCGATTAAACATCCCTAAATTTACATGAGAAGAGGTTTTTTTCGTAAAATAATACATAATTGAGGGGTGACTGTAATTACCCAAACAAGAGAGACATTTTCGTAATTTGACCATAACTTAGAGGGTTGACCGTAATTTGCCCAAAATTTTGAAGGTAATCCAAAATAGACACGTGACATAAAATCAAGAATTGGATTTTTATATCAATAAAAAAGAATCACACACCAAATCTATATATTATGGAATGAAAATTGATTAGTGATTTATGAAAGAGTAAATCTTAAATGAAAGTTTAAAAGTCATTTGGAATTGTAGCTAAAGAAAGATTAGATTTGAATTTCATTAACCACTTACACACAAACATATGCCACCACCATCATCCAAATCCAATGGTCGTCGATGCATCATGTTACCGCAAGATGCATCTATGATTC